GGGTACCTGTTCAGATGTGATCTCTTCTCTCTCTCCCTCTCTTTATCTTGTGCTCTCTTCTCTGTCTCTTCCTCTCTGCCCCCCATCCCGAGGTCCTACTGAGCTAGCTAAACCTCCAGCCTCAAATGTAATTTCTAAATCACTGCTGAGCTAAGGAGGCTGTGAAGACTCTTTGCATGTAGCATGTCATTCTATATAAGAGTTTTGAGCCTTCATATACTTTTGCATCCGTGGGGATCCTGGAATCCCCCTCCGGATACCAAGGAAAGAGTGCGTTTGGAGAAAGGACCTTTAAAGATTAGATGAGGTCACATGGATGGGTCTTCATCCAATCTGACCAGGGACCTTCTGAGAGTGGGGAAAGACACCAGAGAGTCGTGCTTAGGGAGGAGAAGCCCGGTGAGGACAGTGGGAGGGCTGGTGACAAGCCAAAGGGCACCTCGAGAGAAACCGAAACTGTTGGCACCTAGACCGGGACTCCCAGCCCCAAGAGCTTTGAGAAAACAAACCTCTGTTCATTAGGTCGTAATGACAGCCTCAAGCAGCAAATAGGAGAAGCATTAGAGATGAGGCATGAGTAACCCCACCCCAACACCCGTGCGGGCAGATGGTCAACATACATCGGTGGAAACCCGATGGGGGAAGTTTTGCTCCCCCAACAGGGTCTTGACTATCTGAGGATCAGCTGAGAAATAGGGTTTTTACTATTGAGAATAAAAGAATGTCTAAGAGTGATTTGTAATGCTCAGATGAGCGGCGGACATCAGCTGCCTGTCTTTATTTTTGCTATATAATATGTATTACAATAAGATGCTGATGATTATTATCCAGTAACTAATTTCTTCCCTTTACAGCTAATAATTTACAGGAAAAAAATTTTTTTGTTGGCCTGAGTACTAGTTAACAATGTACGTTCTGTCAACTTACTGGGGCTTGAATCTTGTGTGGGTACTAACTAGAATAACTGTGGGATGCGGGGTAAATTACTCATCCACTCTGTGCCTCAGTTTCTTCATCTGTAAAATGGAGATAACAGCATCTACTTCATAGGGCTGTGTGAGAATTAAGTGAACTCATAGATGAAAAGTGTTTAGGAGATGCTGTGACCTATAGCTAGTACCCCGTAAATGTGAGCCGTTCTTCTTCTGCTCTAAGCTGTCTGTGCGTGTGAGTAACGAACAATACAACCACTGCACCTTTACCATCCCACCAAGAGACAGCCGCTGGGCACCAGATGCCTGTGTAACTGCAAACAGGCTGGGAAAGAAGAATGTGCAGCGTGGAGAAGAGTAGCTATCAAATCTCAGCCTGGAGAGTCTTCAAGGATGCTGACAAAAGTACAGAATCTCAGGCTCGGTCTCAAGAGTCTGCTGTGCTATGTTGGAATGGAGGTCAGAAATCTGTCTTTCTGGTTGGTAGCTGGGGTACTTCTGATACAGGGGGTTCTCAGATCACCTTTTAAACACACTATCAAAAGGAGCTTCTATAGGCAGGGCCACTGGATTATGAGAAATGCCATGACTTAAAGTATGTTTAATGTAAACTACCTCTGACCGCCTGTGCACGGGTAGCTGCTGGCAGAACCTTTGTACCTACAGGGTTTCACCGGCTGCCCCTGAAGCAAGGGGCAGAAGTGTGTAAGGCCAATGATAGGTGTGTAAATTTGCTTTAAGAACCCTCTGAGATATTTCCCATGAATGTTCATAGGAGGTACTGATGAAATTGAGGACATTGTGTGTTGGATATAGCCCTCACTGTCTCCTTAGATACATGATGTCCAGCTGGGTCCATTCATGTGAGGATGGACTGTCCAGGACTCTGTGGCTGGGCTGTGGTGTGGCCGCAGGACCTGCGTGGGACAAACAGAGAACCAAGAGTAATAGAAAACAGTAGGATGACCCAGTTTGTTCAGAAGAAATAATCTATTCAGCCAAAAAGTGGTAGGTTCACTGCAAATTAGCTTGTGTGTGGTTTTTTTCTTCCAGAACAGAGGATTGAACCCAAGATGCTTACACTGAGCTACATCCCTAGCCCTTTTTATTTTTTATTTTAAAATAGGGTCTTGCTAAATGACTAAGCTACCCAGGCTGGGCTCACACTGACAGTCCTCCTCCTCATCTTCCTACAGTGCTGGAATTATGGGCATCTGACCCTGTGCCCACCTGCTGCAAATTAATCAGGCTTTCCTACTGTAGGCTGGGCAGCACTTTAGATCTGGGTCCCTGGTGTGAAATAGGACTATCCAGGAGCGTGCTGGGTGGCAGGAGAAAGTGTAGCATTACCCAGGAAGTGGGTAGCTCCCCCTGGGCTCTGGCTAACTACAACAGTGATGGCTTGGGATGGAGGGAGCAGTGATGGAGACTGAAGGTTGGGGTACCTTGGCTCCGTTCCGTGCTGTCGGCTCCTCGGATGTGTGTGCCTGTGGTGGTTGATGGTTTCCCGACGCTCAGGTTGCTGAGCAGCCAGGCTGGGGGTGGGGAGCAGTCTTTGTGGAGGCCTTGAAGGTCAGATCTGGAGAAGAGCTCCAGGTCCCTGGGGCAGCTGGGAGGAGCTCCTGGGGTACCCAACAGCACACCCAACAGTGTGTGGTGTCACTTCTCAGAAAAAAATTAATTGGGTTTAACAAAGCTGAGTCCAGTAGACAATACTGGTGTCGTTCGAAAGCTTTCAAATTGGACTCCTTAACATCTTTGCGCTCTTTATGTGAGGCAAAACTGTTTAAATACTGTCGACTCAGCCTTTTCCCTTGACTTGCCATAACTGAAACATTTTTATAAAGTCAAAGTTATGATGATTAAATTTGTACCCTTGGGCTTGTTTTGTACTGGAGGTGTGCATTTTATACATAGCTTATAGTTTGCGCCCCTTGTGTGTCACATAGGGCCACAAATTGTTTCTGTCAAAATGTCTTAGCTTACTAATGCACCTGTTGTCCTTTCCAAGTCAACTAAAGTGAATCTTCCAACATTCATTCCTGAAAGGAGCGGCATTTGAAAGTAGGCAGGTGTTAAATTTTAACTGTATCCTCGCTGCACCTGGAAGGTTTTTGTGTTTATCGCCATAGTCCCATTTTTGTTTGCGTGTTTACTCTCAGATATTTTAAAATAATACTTCTCATTATAAATGCACTTCTATGTAGTTTCCTAGAATATTTGAAAATCATAAAGAAATCTGTAAAAAAAAGGTCATTCACAATTATAGTTAGAAAAAAATTATCAAAACACTCTCTAATTTCTCTTCTATGACTTCCCCTATAAACACAAACTAATGAGGGGCTGGGGATTTAGCTCAGGGGCATAAGCGCCTGCCTTGCAAGCAGGCGGTCGTGAGTTCGATCCCTGGTACCGATAAAAAAAAAAAAAAAAAAAACCACAAACTAATGAAACATTGTCTTTCTTTGTATGTCTATAGAGTGTGTTTCCCACTTGACTTACCATTTACATATTTCCGTATTATTAAGTATTCTTCGAAAACATGATTTTTCTGACCCTATAAGACTCTATGCTACTTTAACCAATTTTTATGTTAGGTTTAACTTTTTGCTACTGTAACTATTGTCTACCTTCTGCAGAAATATTTTAACTCAACCCTGATTTCCTTGACACAAATGAAGGACAGTCTGGAATTACTAATAACCAGTAGAGCTGTAGGGATCTGATACACCTTTGTCTACGAGCAGAGGGTTGGCAGAGCTCTGCCAAGCCCCTTCTGGGATGAATGTTAATTTTAAAACATATATAACTGCTAAGGAGAATATCTCATTGTTTTACTCACTTTCCCGTTGTTACTATCCAGGTCAGGCATGCATCCTACATGACCTCAGGATTACTGACCCATAATCCTAGGAGGACGTATCTTTCAGCAAGTTTAAGACACGGCTATGACAATTCACAGTGGACTGTATTGGACCCGTTCATAGACGTGCTAATTTTCAGTGTCTTAAAGTCCATTCGGGAAACTTCTTTCAGTGAAGAAAATGATCTGTGGTGACAAAGTGCCCCGTGTCCATGTGTAACAGATTCCAAGCCCAGCCGTTTAGTCTTGTGTAACCGGCAGAAGTTACTTAACCTCCCTAAATTTGTTTTCCTTACTGTGAAATAGGACAGTCTCCCAATTCTCACAATAATGAGGTAGAGTTTTTCACGCTCTTTTCTCCCCTCTTGAGGATTGAACCCATGGCCATTACTCTGCACTAACTCCCCAGCTCTTTTATTTTTTGAGACAGGATCTTGAGAAATTGCCTGATCCAGGTTCAAACTTGCAGCCTCCCTGCCGAAGCCTCCCAAAGCGCAGGGATTACAGACTTGCACCACCACACCCGGCTTTCAAGCTTTTAATAAGAGACAGTACTATTGGCATGGGAAAGGTTTCCTAATTATAAAATAGGCCCAATAGATAGCAGAACATTCTTAGAAGTCAGAACTTTGCAACTCCCAAAAGGTTGTGTGTTTCGCTCCATTTTACTAACAGTGGAGGAGTCTAGATAGAAGGCTTTGTCTGTTTTGTTTTTTCTTAGTTGGAGGAGTTGGCTGGAAAGAGTGGCCTCAGGATGCAGCTTCTTGCAGGGCTTGCTGTCTGCTTGCCCCTGAGAAAATTAAAGCTGACAGCGTAAACCTCTCCACTTCTCACAGGGCGAGGGAACAGATGAGCACTTCTACACCAGTGTGACCATGTTAAGGTCACGATGATTTTAAGGTCATCGTAAACAACAAAACAAAACAAATCTAACTTTCTTTACCACAGTGCTGTGTTCCCACTGTGCTGTGTTTCCAAGATTCTCATCCAAAGATTTTTCTTTCTCTGATCCTTCAGTTTTTTGCCTGGTGGCTTTCGGGCCTACAGATGCTTTTTCTTGACATTTGCTCCTTTCCGTTGCGCGTCCCAGAGGGAGGGTGGGACTGGAGGTCCCCAGCTGCTGGCCGGCTGGCTGCTGGGTGGGGGTGCTGGTGCTCAGGGCCCCGACATCCCCCTCTGAAGTGCTTTCTCTTTCGCATCCCTAGGCTGCCTCTCTGCCCGCAGGGTGGGTGCTGCTTCCCCAGCTGCCGCCGCTGCAAAGCCTGCAAAGCGAGGCTCAGAGATGTCCCAGATCCTCCGGGAGCTGCTCCGCGTCTCCGAGAAAGCGGCCCACATCGCCCGGGCGTGCAGGCAGCAGGAAGCCCTGTTCCAGCTGCTCATCGAGGAGAAGAAAGAGGGCGAAAAGAACAAGAAGTTCGCGGTTGATTTCAAGACGCTGGCGGATGTGCTGGTGCAGGAAGTTATAAAACATAATATGGGGAACAAGGTAAGAGAGGGCCCGGCGCGCTGGTGGGCGGAGGGGATTTGCCTCTGGGGGTTTTTACCCTCGCGGAACAGCAGAACTTTGACTCCCTGTAGACTGGGATTCAAACCCACACCTTGGGGTGTCACACCCTTTTCGTGATTGCAAAATGAATAAAACATTCATTGCAGAAAATTTTTACAGCAAAGAAAATGTGACTCACAGTTCTAACACCTGGAGATAAACATTCCATATAGAACCTTTCACTTCTTGGGATTCATTAAAAATCACTCATTTATTACTGAGTTCCATCTTAGTAAACAATACGTATCTCCAAGATATAAGCATAATTAAGAATCCTCTTAATTCCACCACAGTTGTGTTCTGCTAACTTGTGTTAGAATATTTTCTGTGTCTGTGTGTATATGACCCGCATAATTTATTTCAGCAGAAACGAGAGGACATTGTTTCATAATTTTTAAATTTTTAAACTTGATTTAGGTTTTATTTTTTGGACTTAATCAATTATCTAATAGTTGCCTTGGTCGTAGGCTTGTACGTAGATAAAGCCCGTTTATGCCACTTGAAAAACATTGTCATAACTAACAGTGACAGTGATTGTAAGTACTTTGAGCTAATCAGAGCAGTGTTCATAAATAGTATTAATACTAGTTATATATTAGCAGACACATACTCATTGTTCAAAGAGCTTAAAATATATTGGTGTATTTAATTTTTATAACAATTTTATGAGATAACCTTTCTTTTAATATAATGGATTTTTTTTTTTAAAGGCACATAGAATTTAGGTAACTTGCCTAACATTACACAGTAAATGTGGCCAAGCAAGTTTTTGAACACAGACAAGCCGGCTTCAGACTCTTGAGTTATTTGCAATACTAGACAGCCTTTCATATTATAACCCAAAAGTGTTTCCATGTATAGGAAGTTAGACCTTATGAAGGAAACACTATAAAATAGTGGAAATATATACAACAAAATATATTCTGTGAAACTGTAATTTGGAGAATCACTTATGTAAATGTTAGCCCTGGGTAGAAGTGAATAGACAACCCCATGAAGAGAGTTTCTTTTGTTGCTGATGGAGATGGTTGTGTGCAATGCATGACTGAGCAACTGGATTAGATACGTATTGGCATTTATTCATATAGGCTAATATTTGCCTCGAAACAATATAACAAGTTCAGGCAATTGGTCCTTCATGAAGTAAATGCCAGAACTTGTATACTGTCATTCCATTTCGACTACATAAGATACTTTTTATTTCATAACCCAGTAGCCTCGGAAACAGATTCTGTAAGCAGGTTAGGAGACAAACCATTAGTTCTTGATGAGTAAGTTGGTTGCCAGTCCTTGCAGGCTTGTGCTGTCTTGCAAAAGAGAAAAAAATATATGAGTAGTTGCAGGCATTATTAAAGCTTCTGACAGAGTCACAGTTTTGAAGCATGTCCTTGCTTTTGTTCTCTGAAAACATGCATATCATAATTCAACAAATTTTTGAGAAAAACCGTTTTTACTACTGAGCATCAGAAGCAATATGTGTCAGAAATTGATCATACAGAGATTAGAAGAGGGTCTTATCTGGCTTCATTTATTCCCTTGATATTGTAGTGCAAAGTATTGGTCAGTACAATAGTGCTTTTTTTTTCAGTATGACCTTGCTAGCCTGAAAGCTATTGGCAAGTCTGATGGTCACAGAAACCCACTTGAAAATATAGATAAAATCTAATACTATCTTCTCATTTCTTATCTCCAGTCTTACTAATAATTTGGGGCACTTGATCTAGAATAGTACCTTATGTGAGCCATCTGAGTGCTATTTAAGAGCAATGGTTAAAATATTTCCTTTGCAAACATTCTAGTTCTGTGATCCTTATTTATGGCGGAAGGATAAGACATAAGAAAACCAGACCTTTACCGTGATTTAGAATTTCTGAGGGGCACAGGAGCAGAAAAACATTAGAAAACTAAGCACTGAACCAAGCTGGCTTCATGTTTCATATGTGAATTGGTTTCTAGAATTAGAAATTCCTGAATTTCAGAATTGTGCAATTTAACTTGAAATATAACATGGCAATCTGTTCAGAATTAAAAATGTGTGTGGGTTTTTGTTGTTATTTTGGGATTTGTCACATTCTGAATCATTCAGTTTCCAGGCTTGGAAAAAAACATTTTTGGAGAAGAATCCAATGAATTTACAAATGATTTGGGTAAGTATGAGAATCCTAATACATTTTTGTAACTTAATTTTCTTGCAGTATTCTGATCTTCAATTTATACCATGAAATAAATCGATGTTGTCTCAGTGGGAGACAACATATTATAGTGTGAACATTAAACTTCATCAGAATATCATGCCGTTTAAGTTAGAGATAATGCAGATTACTCTTAGAAAGCCTATGCACCATTTTAAAGTGGAAATGTTCCTAATGTCCTAATGTTCCTAATGTCCCAGGTGGAGGGCAATACTCTGGACAATTTCAGGTCTTTGGTTTAAGCCCATCTGTGGGGGTCCTTAGCTTATAGCTAAGGATGCAGAAGAGGCCTTGGCCCTGAAGTACTGGGCTGTCTTGAGCTGGTCACCTTACCATCTTTCTGGGTCTCAGAACTTCTGTAAAGGTGCTTAAACAGCTGAAAGGTTCCTTTCAGTACCAAGTGTTTTGTTTGCCTGGCACCGTTTTATTTGAGATGGGTACTGCTTGTTGCCCAGGCTGGGCTCAGATTCCTAGACTTATGTGATCTTCCCACCCCAACCTCCTGAATAGTTGGGACTCTAGGAGTGTGCTGCTGTGCAGGACTGGTAGAAGCTTTTAGTCTTTGTTAGTTTCCTGTGGGTGGAGTCTCATTTAGCGGATCCCCATGTTTCCTGGTATTCTAGGGGAAAATACCACAATCTCTGTCTGATTCTTTTCAGAGAATTTTTTAGCCTGTTTGGGTTTTTGTTTAATGGTAGAATACTAAAATAGCATTAAACGGTTGGTCATGGGATCGATGTTAAATGTTAAATATCTAGAAGCACACAAAAAGTAAAGGTGAATTTCTGGATTAACTATGAAACTTTGTGGTCTCTCACGGGCTGTGTGTTAAGATGCACTTAGTTCTATGATAGTAAAAGAAATCTTATTTAAACTTCTGAAGGTTAAAAATGATGTAATTAATTCTGTAATTAACTCACAAGAAGTCCTCATTTGGAATCCTACGTTGCCTACTTCATAAAGTTATTTTAATGCTTCATTTATTCAGAATTATGGGGACAAACAGGCGTTCCATATCCACTTTCCTGTCGAAAGGGCAAAGGAACATGCAGAGGGGATGGGGAAAGACGGGTGGCTGGTGTGAGTGAACGCAGAGAACTGGACTCCTCCAAGTCTGACAGAAAAACCCTGGCCAGTTTTAAGCAAAGGAGTAATTCGACATGATCTACTCATTCGAATGATCCCACAACTTTGAGCCCAAAATAGTGCTCAGTGTCTGCCAGTTATTGGAATTTCTATTCCCCAACTAACGGTGTAATTTGGATGTAACTTAAGTAAACTCAGGGGTCGGTTTTTCCTGCTGACTTGGTGTTATCATTGTGGACCAGGTGTAGCTCAGTGGTCGAGGGCTGCCTGGCATATGCAAGGCTCCGCCCTGGCACAGAAAAAACAGAAAATAAAAAGCCAAAGTCGTCGCTGTAACAGAGTCATACCGTGTTTCCCAGACCTTACTGATCCTGTCGCTTCAGGATCTTGTTAAAGTTCAGTGGTTCTGGGGTGAACTGGAGACTCCCTGGGGATGCAGGCAGATACAGGAGTAGGAGGATGCATCCCTGGAAAGCCCCACCGTGCCGTGTTTTCTTCCTTCTGGAGTTTCTTGGTGTTCTCCATTGCCATCAGTTCTTGTTGCAATTAACTTGCCTATCTTTAGTAAGCTCTGTGCTCACTTCAGTGGGAAACCAGATTAACAAGGGTCTCAGAGGCATGTGTTGGGGGTGGGAAAGGGCTTGTAAATCTGGTTTCATTTGGAGAAGCAACTTTTCTTGCAGCCTGCTCCTCAGTGAGCTGTCCCTGCCTGTGTCATTTGGAATGACAACCTTGGTATGTTTAAGGACTAATAAACTTCATCTTATATTATTGAACAGAAACCATTTTCAGCTAAAAGTAGGATCACAGGAGGAGGTGGAAGCCCCTCAGCATGCTTATTAAACCTGCATTATTTTCAGTAACATTTGTGTGCGAACAAAGTAACCTATGCATAATAAAAGTCAAAAGGAAAGAAGATGTGAGACATTATTTATCAATGATGCCGAGCTGTTACTCACTTATTTATGTCACCCCTTAAATTTTTGGTACTGGGGATCGAACTCATGACTGCATGCTTGCAAGGCAGGCACTTATGCCACTGAGCTAAATCCCCAGTCCCCAAGCACCCCTTAAATAGGATACAAAATTATGTTCATGTGGAGATTTGTCTTGAGGGAAACCTTTTGGTTCCTGAAATATCATCCCACTTGAGGTAGGGCCTGAGGCCACTGGGCACCTGGGACTTGGTGAAGTTCCCCAGATGATTCTGCCAGTCAGCCAGGTCCAGGAACCACTGATGTGGATTCATTGGCATGTCTGTCTTTTGTCATGTCTGTCTGTTTACCTATGTTTTTGCAGTACTGGGGATTAAACCTAGGGCCTTCACACTGAGCTATTTCACCAGCCTTTCCTATTTTTTATTTCATGACTAGGATCTCATAAGTCACTAAGCTGCTCAGGCTGGGCTAGAACTGTGATCCACCTGCCCTCAGCCTCTCAGAGTGCTGGGATCACAGGCATGCACCGCTGTGCCTGGCTGCCCTCACTTAGGCTAAGAGCAGCCTTCTCTGTCTTTCCCCCATCCTTAGGTTGTTCTTTTGCTCCACTGAAACTCCTGAAATGCAATGGCTTTTAGTTTGTCTTTATTCTAGGGGAAAAGATTACCATAAAAGTGTGCTCAACAGAGGAAGAAACCACAGAGCTTCTTAGCAAAGTCCTTGGCAGTAACAAGTCAGCGTCTGAAGCACTGGCCAAGGTTGTTCATCAGGATGTCGCCTTCGGGGACCCAGCTCTGGATTCCATAGACATCAGCATCCCCCAGGACATTCTGGGAATCTGGGTGGACCCCATTGGTAAGTGCAGGAGACTACATTGTTTTTGCTTTTGTTCATTTGTTCTTGCTTATGATCTTTTTTATACTTTTCTTGATTGTTTTTTGGCTTGGAAAAATAAAAATTATTGAGAGTATAGTGTTCACTTGAAGTTTTTAAAGTTTCAAAATGCTAAGAGTTGAGATATTTCATGATGTGTTATGGCTGTGTGTGTAGACACACACATATTACAGCTTTTTACACATCTATAACACAGGCACACACATAAAGATGAGCTAACTCGTCTTTAAGACTTCAGGGGCCAGATGGGTAAGTGAGGACAGACACAAAATGATACAGTTATGAGACACATACTGCTAGAAAAGTCCTGAGCTCCAATAGACTCTTGACATCAGGACATACAGACCAGATCTTCAGACTTTTAAGACCAACCAAAATGCAGGTGTTTAAGTCAGATCTCCCAGTTTTTAACCAATGCCAACTTATCCAATTAAATGAGTCAGCAGTGAATAACACAGCAGAATCAGCTGGAACACAGCCTTGGCTCACGAGCAGTCAGTTTGTGAGCCTGTGTAAGATGATTATTTTTTGTCCTTATTGTGGTAGAATCATCATCTATAGTTCTTTGTTTAAAAAGCACGGTCCATGTTCTCTGTGATGCTATTAATGCAAGGTCTTAGGTAATAATATTAAAAACTGCCCTGTGGCTTTCCCTTCTCTGACAGATTGCACCCAAAACACCCAACACCACTCATGACGCCGCAGGACCCTCACCCTGCACCTGCCCTCTCACAAACACATCAACACAGCGATGTGGAAATAGGTTTCATTAGCCGAGCATGGTGTGCAAAACGGTAGTCGTAGCCACTTGAGAGGCTGAGGCAGGAAAAGCAGGGGTTCAAGACCAGCCTGGGAAACAGAATGAGAACTTTTCTCAGAAACAAAGGGAAAAAATGGAAAGAGGGAAGGAAAGAAGGAGAAAATGAGTTATCATCAGAGAATTATGTACCATTCACCAGTGGATTATATATGGCAATGAACACTGTCTTCCAAAATCTTTCCTCACTTGAGGTACATTGGCATCAGTGAGGGTTTCAGAGGCAGAGGGATCCCCCGTCTCTTAGCAACAGGACAATCCATCAGTTACCTTGAGTTGTTAGCTTTTAGAGGCTTTTGCCATGTGACAAATACTTGAGTGTTTTTTATTATGCTGGAGGCCACAGGAACCACGGACATGGGCTTTCCCTTTAGTTCTCACACAGCAGGAAAAGGAAACAAGGTGCTCAGGGGAGAAAGAGGCCAAAGAGCGGTTCCGTACAGTGACAGTGAATGTGACAGCAGAGAAGTAGAGATAAATTACATAGGACAAAGTGAAGAGATGTGTGATGGTTAAATACAAAATGTGCTTTAAAAGGCTTGTGTGTTCAGAGGCGGGTTTCTGGGAGTGCGTGGATTGTGGGGGATTTGTCCACTCATGAGTTTAGTAGCCAACGGTGATGTGGGTCCGTGTCAGAAGAGGCTGGTCCCGGGGGTGTGATGTGCAGGGTGGAACTTCCTGCCCTTCCCTACTCCTCCCTCCTCTCTCCGCTTCCTGACCGCCATGAGGTAAGCAGCTCTCCTCCCCCCAAGCCCTTCCCTCAGGCCATTCCAGCCTCTGAGCCTGCTGGCTGCACAGGGACTGAAGCTTCTGAAACCACGGACCCAAAATAAACCTTGACTCCTTTAATTTTCAGGTAGCACATACTGTCTCCTAACCGGGAGGAATAAGACTAAAATAGCATATCTTCACCATTCTCTTCTAAATAATCTTTACCTGGACCTCAACGCCTTGGCTTCATTTTTCAGATTCAACCTATCAGTACATCAAAGGTTCTGCTGACGTTAAAGCCAACCAAGGGATTTTCCCCTGTGGCCTTCAGTGTGTCACCATTTTAATTGGCGTCTATGACCTACAGACAGGGGTGCCTCTGATGGGAGTCATCAACCAACCTTTCGTGTCACAAGATCTAAACACACTCAGGTAAAGATGGACACTTTTGATCTGTTACTGTTTTCAGAACTTCACAACCTCGGCCTTGCCATTCCAATGCCTGGATACATTGTGGGGGGGGGCACTGAAAGTCTACAGGTTTGAATTAAAGTTCTTTGACTTTTCAATCCTGGATTTTGGCGTAACCTTATTTGGAGCCATGTGCATGCTGGTAGGAATTTTAAGAGGTTGCATCTTCAGGTCATCTTGTCACAGATGCAATAGTAGCAATCCTGTTCTATGTTTCTGGAATCCACTCAAAACAGGATTAATAGAATGAGGCAAACTCTGTCTTCAGATGCTCTTGGAATGAGATAAATGTCATTACTGTGTACATGAGCTTTGGTAAAATTGTACAAACTAAAACAAAGCGTAGAAAATGTCCCATGCAAAGATTGATAGGTCTGGCCAGGACACCCTAACCAGGACAGCTGTCCTGGAGCACACTGTTAGTACAGGACCACCAGCCTTCTGCCTCCCCCTCCTTCTCCTCCCAAAACAGCATCACCAAGTCCAAGTGCAAAAAAGCAGCTTCGGTTTTTTTTTATTATTGAAATAGGTCAAATTTTTCCATTTATATAGAACTACATATGTTTATCACATGTTAATAACCTCGGATAAGAGTAGTTTGCTCCTTGACAGATGTAAGTTTATACTTCTGGAGCTGTGATATTTTTCCTTTACCCAATTTTTTTTTTTTCCGAACCAAGTATGTGCTTCTGTCATCTGTAAAAGGCCAGTGAGAAATTAAAAAGTGTGGGGAAGTGTGCAGACACATTCTTGGGCTGGTACTGGAGGTGGAGGACAAAGTAGTTAGTGCCATGGATTTTGGAGTGAGACCCTTTGGGTGGGAATGCAAATTCTACAATGTGTGAGCTGTGTGGGCCCCAGCAAGTTATTTACTTTTTCTAAGCCTCTGTTTCCTCATCTGCAGATATAGTAAAATTACCCAACATAGAAGGCAAGTCAAGCACTGATAAATGGAAAGTGTTACTATCACTGTTGCTAAAATTAACATGACAAGACTTTTTCAGTGCCACAAGCCAAAATGGAATGAGTGCATACACGAACAAAAGGGACTAAGCAGTGGCAGACACTAACATGCCGTAAAGACTGTGAGAGGTTTACAGATTGATGTATCTGTTCATCTTTTCTCCTACTGAACTTTAAGTGCCAAAAGTGGTAATAAAAGTTTGCGGTTTCTGGAGACCGGAAATCCCAGAAATATTTGAGTGTTGTCCTAGATTGATGAGGTAATGCAGTAAAATAGAAAGCATTCCTCACTCTATAACAACACAGGCAGCTGCGTGCATATGAGTAACTTTTAGAAATGAATTAGCTACTCGAGATCTATTTCCAGGCTTTGGAATGTTGAAACTCATTATGTTATGTGGAATCGTGTCTTTTTTCATACTGTTAAATGTGAAAGCAATATGAATAATGAACAGCAAATGTGATAATCACCTCCATCAACTGAAACTTTTCTTCTCCAGGTGGAAGGGAGAGTGCTACTGGGGTCTTTCTTACATGGGGACCAACATCCATTCACTCCAGCCTGTCGTTTCTAAAAGTGGCAGCAGCACCAGCAGCAGCACAAACCGGACTGAAAATGCCAGCCGGGAGGCAGACTCCCCCCACCCTTTCTCCGCTGTCATTAGTACCAGTGAAAAGGAGACCATCAAAGCCGCACTGTCGCGGGTGTGTGGGGACAGCATCTTCCGAGCGGCGGGGGCTGGTTATAAGAGCCTCTGTGTTGTCCAAGGCCTTGTGGACTTTTACATCTTTTCGGAAGACACCACTTTCAAGTGGGACTCCTGCGCCGCGCACGCCATCCTGAGGGCCATGGGTGGAGGCATGGTAGACTTGAAAGCATGCTTAGAGAGAAATGCAGGTGCTGGGCCAAGTTTGCCCGAGCTGCTGTACCACGTGGAAAACGAGGGAGCCACTGGGGTTGATCGCTGGGCCAACAAGGGAGGACTGATCGCCTACAGGTCCAGGACACGGCTGGGGACCTTCCTGAGCCACCTCCTCCAGCATCTTGCCTCTTCAGGGTCGCAGACGTAGATGAGCTCTGATCTCAACGAACTCATAAACCAAACTGTTTCTCATTATCTCTATCTTTTGAAGATAGTTGTGTCCTATTGATGGTTCACATGTACCTTCTCTTTTGAGGAGCATTGTTCCATGATGTGTTCATTATATTAATCTCAGTAACTTAATGACATTCATGCAGCTATTAAGTTGGTGTATGATATTCTTACAGCAAATATTGTACTGGTATTACTGCTTGAAGCACTTCAATAAAATATTGCAGAGGAGAACAATCCTGTGCAGTTAGCAGAGCTCCTGCAAGCATCTGAGGAATGCCACTGAAATATCGGGGGAAATACAGGAGGGGTTTGCTTGGGTTTTGTTTCCTGTCTTGACAGGAAAATCTGCCTGCGGCAGAACACTTAGAACTTTGAATTTGCATAATGTAGCCAAGGTCTTTTCATACTATTCCTAAAAAGTTTCACCTAAGAAGGAAAGCCAGGAGTACTGGAGTTCCTCCCACCTTTGCAGAGAGTGGGGGAGGGAGTTAGAGCTAGGGATGTACTTGTAGGGGAGAGAGAGGCCCAGAGAGTCCAGTTTCTGTAGAACACAATGGAAAGGGGTAAAGAGGTTTTCATAATTTTAGTGGATTTATGCTGTTGCTGAAAACCAGAGATAAGCTCTGGAGATCTGCAACCCCCGTGTGTACCAGTATCCCATACTGGTGGCTCTTGGCAGTCCTTTGCAGTATGGGGGTGCAGAGGGAGGACTCAGCCTTTAGCTCTGAATAATTTATGCCCTATGCTCTTTGGGGACAAAGGGTGTTTTTTTCCTACTACCATGACAAATGAATGAAAATAACCTTCCATTTTTTTTCTAATATCCTTAAGATTAAGAATAATATTGACAAACTACACATTTATGTAGTTTGCCAGCATGCTGGCTTGGAATACACACAGTGGCTGTGTTATATTAAAATGCATTGCCTCACTTTTTGTGGTGAGACCATTCTCAAGCTACTCTGTTAGCAACTTTCAAGTATACAGTATATAATAATGAACTATAGTGACTACATTGTACAATAGATCTCCTTCCACCTAACTGAAATTTTGTGCCTTGGAGTGGCATCTTCCCAATCCTCCTTTGCCCACCCGAGGTAACCCCACTCTGCCCTTGCTTCTATGAGTTGCACTTGTGTTTATATTGAAGTGAGAATGTTGCGTGTTTAAGTCTGGTTTCTTTTGCTTACCATCATAGCATCCAGATCCTTCCACGTTATTGCACATGACAGGATTTCCAATTCTCTTCATCCATCCACCAAGGTTGATTCCATACCTTGGCTATCACGAACACTGCCAGATGAACATGGGAGTGAAGATATCTTTTTGATGTAAATGAAATTGAGTTTCCTTAGTCAAACACTTCTCAGATCTTTGCTTCACACAGCAGATTCTGTGATTGATAGAGTCATAGGGTTACGGTTTTTAGCAGTCTGAATTGTGCTCTGGTTGACGAGCTCTCAAGTTGCATATTTTTCTCATTGACATTATAAAGAGCAGATTTGAAATCAAAGTGAATTCATTCTTCATAGCTAAAGACATAAAACACCCAGGACTTCTGGCCCCAAATGCCACAGCATGAAGAAACAGAGTATAGTTCAGAAAAAAGCATATGTTGCCAGTAAAAACATTTTAGAGTATGTAAATGATCAACAACATTCAGCAAAAACAGTCATCTCCAGTGAGATCTAAATAGCTTCCCAGTTAATTAGAAGGGGGAAAACTGGATAAAAGGGAAATCAAGTGTATTCTGTAAACATATAAAGTCTGCCTTCCATATTCATGGTTTCCATAGCCACAGATTCAGCCCAACCTGAATGGAACATATATATATATATTTTAAATTCCTCCTGCACTGAAAATGTACAGACTTTTTTCCTTATCATTATTCCTCAGCCAGTACAGTATGGCAACTATTTGCATTGAATTGAGGTATTACAAGGGATCTAGAGGTGACCTGAAGCACGAGGGAGTCCATGCCTGGATTATAAGTGAGTGCGGCACCACTTTAGAAGATTTGCAGCTGTGGATTCTGATATCTGTGGGGACTTGGACACAGTCCTCCTCTGGTGCTGAGTGGTTCCCGCATACTCACTGTGGATCTTTGCAGGGAAGTTAAGGCTCCTCATTGAAGCCTGTGTCTTGGGTAAGTCTACACTGTTTTTCTTGTGTAACGACCTCACCCAGGCAAATACGGTTTCTAATTTGAATTTTTTTTACAGGAGGAACTTGAAAATATTCACAAAGCAATCTGAGGACATAAATATTTTGGATTTTTATATTTTTTCCTTCTAATTTTACATTTTTCTTTTTTAATTGGTACATGCTTGCAGTACACAATGATTACATTCATCAGGTGGAATTGCTACATGTACACAACACATCTTAATTCTTGTTTTTCATCTCCTTTCCCTCCCCTTCCTACAGCTGATGTCTTCTTTCCTTTATAAAAGATCTCCCTATTTCCTATTGCCTATCTTTAATTTTGCTATTTGTGTTTGTTATATAAGAAAAATCACAAGATATTTAATCTTGTATGTCTGATGTATTTCACTTAACATTATAATCTTAAGGTGCATCCTGTCCTGTATCCATTCATCTGTTGATCGACATATAGGCTGCTTCCAAGGCATAGTGAATGTGAATTGTGCTGCTATAAAGATGGGTACACATGTATAACTCTTTCAGGAAGTTATGTAGAAGGAGAGTAACTGGTATTTGGGGGAATCAGCATACTGATTTCCATAGAGGCTGTGCTAGTTTACATTCTGACCATTTTCCTTGCAATATTGTTAAATGTGTGTTGTTATTTGATTTGTTGATAATGAGCATCCTTTCTAGAAGAAGATAGACTCTCAGGGTTGTTTTAATTTGCATTTCTCTAGTAGCCAACAATGTTAAACATTTTTTTCATGTATTTGTTGGTTATCTATACTTGTTTGGAGTATTTATTCCAGTTGCCCATTTTATAATTGGGTCTTTTACTTGGGGGGGGGGACCTAATTTTTATGCATGTAGATCTTTAAGTCCTAGACATTAGTCCTCTGTCTGAGAAATAGCTGGCAAAAATTTACAATAAGTATAAGAAATTGGAAAGATATTACCTGTTCCTGGTAAGCAGAAACAATATTGTCAAAATGACCATACTTCCAAATCTGATATACAGATTTAATGCAATTCTAGTCAAAATGCCAGTAAGATTCCTCACAAAACTAGAGAAAACAATCCTAAATTTCATATGGAATCAGAGAGACTCAGAATAGCAAAAGCAGTTGTAACCAATAAGAGCAAAACAGGATGCCCACAGTCCTGGACTTCACATTATATTACAAGACTATCACAATAAAAATGACATGGTAGCACAAACACAGATATGTAGATCAGCGAAACAGACTAGAGGATGCATAAACAAGCCCTGGTACATTCAGCTATCTGATCTTTGACAAAGGGACCAAAAACACACTGGAGTAAAGATAGCCTTTTTAATAAATGGCACTAGGAAAGGAAGACTGGCTATTGACATATACAAGATTGAATCTAGTACTACATTAAAATTATAATGGCTCAAAGATGTAAATACAGAAGCAGAAATACTCTACTAGAAGATGAAATAGGTAAAATTCTTGAAGACATAGGTATAGCCAAGGACTTTCTGAACAGAATCCCAATTGTACAAAAAATAGTGCTAAGAATTAGCAAATAGGATTGTATTGAATTAAAAAGCTTCTGCACAGCAAAGGAAACAACCAGCAGAAGAAAGAGACAACAATAGTTTTTTAAGACTCGCATTCACCAACCTGCACAAAGACTTTAATTCTGTTTTCAAACTCAAATTTCAAATTTCAGACTTCCAAATGTCCCAGAATGCTCCATGACATTAGTCAACCAATTTAATTATTGAAAGTAAAATTGGAACATAGTTCTGAAAAGAACTCAGCAACTCAGTCCACAAACAACTCACTTGCTGGGACTAAGATTTGGGGACAATGAAGGATGGGCATGGTAGGAGAGAGACACTTGAACAAAGGTCAGGGGTCTTGCGCATGGTCAGTGTGTTCACAGGAGAATGGACAGAGAGACTGATCTGGAACTCCCTTAGGTGCACAATGGTAAAAAGAGAGCTTCCACTGCACATCAATAAAGCAGTCTCTGGGATCCCTAACCAATGCATTCAATTAGGAAACCCTGGGGTCCCCTTCAAAAATATCCCCAGAATCCCACCATTCCTGTTCCCTCTACCCTTTCCCTAGTCTGTTGCATTAAACATCTAACCTGCCCCCTTCTGCTTTATTCTCAACACAGAACTGGAAGGATCCTTTCCAGATGCTAATCATGTTTCTGTTCTGTTCAACACCCTCCAGATGGCTTGATGCTCTCAGGGTGAAAACCAAACTCTTTATGTGGCCTATAAAGCTCACCATCTACACCATCCACTTGCCCAGGAGCAGGGTGTCATCTGCCTTTACCTTTGGCCATAATCTAAATGTTTGTGATTATGCCAAATTTATGTATCAAATTCCTATCCATCAAGGTGATGGGACTCAGAGGAAGGCCTGCAGGAGGTGGTCAGGCTATGAGGGTGAAGCTCTCATGATTGGGTTAGCACCCTAATGAAAGAGGCTTGACTGAGACCTTTGCCCCTTCACTAGATCAGGACACAGCCAGAAGGTGTAATCTGTGAGGCAGATACTGAATCTGCTTTGATCTGGATTTTCAAGACTTCAGAGCAGTGAGGAATAAATGCCCATGTTTAAGTACCAGGTGGATGGTGTTTCCTTATAGCAGCCCAGGTGGACTAAGATGCTCACGATCTAGCTCACTTCCTTCCGGTCACTGCTTTTCTTGCTGTCCCCTGGACCTGCTAGTCAGGCTCTCTCTTTGCCTCACTACTCTAATTGGAAAACTTTCTCCAGGTATCAACATAGTTCCCACCATCATCTCCATCAAAACTTTGTTAAATGTCACTGTTTGAGTATGATTATTACTCTCACCCCAATGCAACCCACAGCCCTCCTGTCCCAATCTGTCTCCTTTCCAGACTTCCTGCCACAGCACCCCCTGCCTTGTAAGATATGGTACAACTTCCTTTGTCCATTTTCTCCTCCTCTAGCATGTCAGTGCTACAGGGACCTGGCTTTTCATCTATCCTCTGTTTCCACTGCCTAGAGCAAGCCTGGGCACATAGTTAGCGTTCAGTATTGACTGAATGAATGAAATTCAGCTCAGAAATTAAA